ATTTTGCATACTCATGACAACAAAAGAAAATACCAAGTACATTTGTATAGAGAAGTCAGTTAAAAAGACATAATATGAAGAAAAGAAATTAAAAGATTAACAAATAAAAAAGAAAATTCTAAAGAATGCCCATTAATCTATTAGAGCTAATAAATTAATTAAACAAAGTTGAAAGAATACAAGATGAACACGCAAAAATCAATTGTATTTCTATACACTGGAAATGAACAATCCAAAAGTGCAGTTAAGAAGGGTGATTGGCTGGTGTGGCTCAGTTGATTGAGCATCATCCCATGCACCAAGAGGTTGCCAATTCAATTCCAGTCAGGGCACATGCCCGGGTTTCGGGCTTGATTCTCAGTAGGGGGTGTGCAGGAGGCAGCTGATCGGTGTTTCTCTCCCTCTCCCTTCCTCTCTCTCTAAAACCAATACAAACTTATTTTGTAAAAAAAGAAGGGTGCCTTGGCTGGTGTGTCTCAGTGGTTAAAGCATTGGTTCACACATCAAAAGGTCATGGGTTTGATTTTCAGTCAAGGACAAGTACCTGGTTTGCAGGCCCAATCCCCACCCAGGTTGGGGTGTGTTTGGGAAGCAACCAATCTATGTGTTTCTCTCACATCGATCTCTCTCTCTCTCTCTCTCTCTCTTTCTCTTTTCCACTCTCTCTAACAATCAATGGAAAAAATATCCTTGGGTGAGGACTAATGAAGGAGAAGGAAAAGGAGAAGGAGAAGGGGAAGGGGAAGGGGAAGGGGAAGAGGAAGAAGAAGAAGAAGGAGGAGGAGGAGAAGAGGAAGAAGAGGAAGAGGAGGAGAAGGAGAAGGAGGTTGGAGGGATTAAGCAAAGAAAAAAAAGAAAGACTCATGGACATAAACAATAGTATGGTGATTGCCAGAGGGAAAGGAGCATGAGGGGAGGTAGAAGAAGGTAAAAGGGGGCTAAATGGTGATAGAAGGAGACTTGACTTAGATGGTAAACACACAATACAATATACAGTTGATGTATTATAGAATTGTATATCTGAAACCTGTGTAATTTTATTAACCAATGTTACCCCAATAAATTCCATTAAAAATGTTGTTCCAAAAAGAAAAAAACCAAAAAACAAAAACATAGTTAAGAAATCACTTCCACTTACAATAGCATCAAAAAGAATACTTAGAAATAAATTTAACCAAAGAGGTGCAAGACTTGTACACTGTAAACTATAAAACATTGCTGAAAGAAACTAAAGACCTATATAAATGAAAAGACATTCCATGTTCATTGATTGGAAGAGTTAATATTAAGATGGTGATACTCCCCAAAGTGACCTAAAATTCATTGCAATCCTTATCAAAATCCCAATGTGTCCTTTTGAAAATATGGAAAAACAGACTGTAAAATTCACATGGAATTACAAGAAACCTCAAGTAGCCTAAACAATCTTGAAAAAATAACAAAATTGGAAAAATCACACTTCCTGATTTGAAACCTTACTAAAAAGCCCTGGCCAAGTAGCTCAGTTGGTTAGAGAGTCGTCCTGATACACAATGTTTTGAGTTTGATCCCCAGTCAGGGCACATATAAAAATCGACCAATGAGTGCATAAATAAGTGAAACAACAAATCGATATCCCCCCCAATCAATAAAAAAATTAATTAAAAATTAAATTTAAAAAAATTTTTTAAAACCTCACTACAAAGCTATAGTAAACAGAACAGTGTAATACTTGCATAAGGAGAGATATATAGATCAATGGAACAGAACTGAGAGTTCAGAAATAAACCCATTTATCTATTGATTTGCACCAAGGGTGCCAAAACCATTAAAAGGAAAAAAGAATAGTCTTTTCAACAAATGGTGCTGGGACAACTGGGCAGCCATATGCAAAAGAATTAAGGTGTTTAGACCCTTATCTCACACCACATATAAAAATTAACTCAAAATTAATTCAAGACCTAAATATAAGAGCTAAAACTCTTAGAAGAAAACATCGGGGTAAATCTTCATGGTAATGGTTCTTTAAATATGACACCAAAAGCATAAGTACTAAAAGGAAAAAAAGCAATAAATTAAACTTTATTAAAATGTTTAAAATTTTGACCAATTTTGTTCATTTGATAGAGTTTAAAGTCAATTCACAGAATAGGGGGAAATACTTGCAAATCTTTATCTGGCAAAGGTCTAGTATCCAGAATATATAAAGAACTCTTACAACTCCACAACAACAAAAACAACCCAATTTAAAAACGGTCAAAGAACTTGAGTAAACATTTCTCTAAAGAAGATATACAAATGGTCAATAAGCACATGAAAAGACACTTAACATTATTAGTCACTAGGGAAATGTAACTGAAAACCACAATGAGATACCACTTCACACCCAATAGAATGACTGTATTTTTTTAGAAATAGGAAAATAACAAGTGTTGGCCAGCATGTAGAGATACTGGAACCCTCATACATAGCTGGGGGAAATGTAAAGTGGTGTAGCTGCTAGGGAAAACAGTTTGATTGTTCCTCAAAAAGTTAAACATAGAATTACCATATGACCCAGCAATTCCACTCTCAGGTATATACCCAAAAGAATCGAAAACCAGTGTTTAAATAAAAACTTATACATGAACGTTCACAGCAACAATATTTACAATAACCAATATGTAGATATGAATGAACAGCTAAAAAAACATAGTGCATCCATACAATGGAGTATTACTTGGCCATAATAAACAGACGAGCAGAATAGATTCAATGACATGAAAGCATAGTTGAGACTGATGAAATGTCAGAGGGATGGAGGGGGGTGGGTGGGTGGAGGGGGAGAGAGTAACCAAAGAATTTATGTGCATATATACACAACCCAAGGACATGGACAATGGTGGGTTGAGTGACTGGGGAA